ATGTGCAAGTCATGAGTCAATGACAAGAAATCAAGACATGTAAGGACAAACATTGTTTTCACTTACTAGAAACAAAACATCATCGGTTTTTAAACCAGATTTTTCTCTCCTTGTTCTTCTTACTTAACTCAAGAAGCAAGGTCATCAGGCCTTTCCTCTAATGGTAGTCAGAAAGCATTCTGGGAAATGGAGGAAATAAAACAGTAAATACGGAGTAGAAAAATCACACATTTCCTGGCAGGCATTGAACATATCAAGCTGAGTGTTGAAGGACGGATATTTTAGAAATGTTATCATAACATATACAAGTAAAGAGGTGTTTGAGGCATCAAACTGTTACCCACAATGCAATACTGACAGGCAACGTCATATCTCCAGTCCGCTCAAATTGAGAACTGCAGAATTTGTTGCAGTGTGATATTTCTCAAAACTGGTGACGGACTGCTTTTGTGATTGTCAATCTCAGATCTAAGAGCATGGCAGTTGAGAAATTGTGTATGTGTGTGTGTGTGTGTGTGTGTGTGTGTGTGTGTGTGTGTGTGTGTGTGTGTGTGGTGTGTGTGTGTGTGTGTGTGTGTGTGTGTGTGTGTGTGTGTGTGTGTGTGCAAGTGTGCAAGTGTGCTTTCTAGAGGTGTGTGTGCGGTATAGAGAGGCTACATCAGACAGACTTAACAAGTGTTCCCTGTCTCTCTCCAGCCTATTCTCATCCCCCTGACATGTCGTCGCTGGCGGCAGAAGAAAAAATAAAACTTGCGTCCTCCTCCTCCTCTTTCTACACACACACACACACACACACATACTAACAAACACACATTTCTATCCCTATCTAGGCCCTCACCCCCCCTTTCTCCTTCAACAACATCCCCATTCAAGTGCATCAGCTCCAGGCGTCCTTCCTCCCACCCCCTTCCCCTCTGCCTCCCCCTCGTTCACCAGTAGCCTAAGCACATAAAAAATACATCAAACACAGCCGCCCGCCCAAGGCCTCGTCACACGCAAAATCATCTCTCCCTCCATCTCTCTCTCTCAAAAAAGGAAAATCCAAGTTACAAAAGACGACCGCTGAGGACACTGATAGGAGAGATAGGCTGAACCCTGGTGGACTGAGGGTCGTCTGTGAGGCCTCCTGGGGGGGGGAGGGGGGGGGGGGGGGAGATTATTGTAATGTTAACACTAACCTCCGCCCTTTCCCACACACAAAAAAAGAAGCATGACTTACCTTGTGCATAATAAGACCTTGTTTGGATTGTACACAGCCTGCAGCCCCCTGACCCACTTCCCTCAGTTCAGCTTCCACATCTGCTGCAGCACCAGTCTCGGCTGTGACAGTGGCCGAGGGCATCCGGCAGCACCCATGGGCCCCACTGTCAGATCCCCGGTGCTGAGACTGTAAAGAGAGGCCTGCCGGACCTCCAGTTCACAGCCAGCGCTCTTAAAAAAATCACCCAAATCAGCCAAGACGTGCTAAATTGAACCACTAATCCAGCGCGGGGGTTTGTTTTCTGCACTAATTATACACTTTTATTTTAGAGCATAGATGCGAGTAGACGTACAATGCAGACGTCATGACACAAGCTGCACACCACCCCTGGGTGCTGCAGCTCATGTTTCTCTTCAATTATTCCACCCTCTGTCCTCTCTCCTCCTCATAATCTGAATAAAACCAGATCCGTGTCCTCTAGATATTTAGAAGCCGGGCCTCGGTGCCAAAACATGTAACCTTCCTCCTCTTTCAAGTGTGGTGGGAGTTGGGTTCAAGGGGGGGGGGGGGGGAGGTTGGCTTTACTGGGTTGACCTCGCAATTCCCTCTGGGGGTTAAACAAAGTTGTGAAATTCAGTTTGGGAGTACGACGGGGAAGAGAATTATGCTTGAATTAGCCAACAACTTGCAGACGTTATTAAATTCTCATTAGAGTTGATTTCTTGACCCGGCAAACAGACCCGTAGGATTCAGAATTAAGTCTTTATCTCGATTAATTGCGTTGTAATGGCTCAAAAATAATGACAGAGGAAGCTCCACAGTGAAAATCTATCACGTTATTCCCTTTGCCCGAAGCCTCTTGGCTCTTAAAATCTCACAGAAATCCAGAGTCTTAGATAAACAGAGAAAACTGAGGCTTTGACAAAGGTAGAAATGTAATCGCTGCTTTAACAACACCAGGATTAAGCTGGACGGCCTGCAGGTACGGCAGCTCGCTATGGGAGGGGCCCACCATGGGGTTCATTCCAGACCCTCCTGGCGTTGGCCCCTAATGATGTGTAATGGGGCCTCCTGCGCCCGCTCCTAACCCCGGGACCTTCTCCTAATCACCGTGGCTACTAATGAGATGGAGAGACATGAAAGCGCTCGTTAGAAAGAAGACCCTAGCCTTTAATGCCGGCCTATTATTAGCCACTTAGCAAATCATTAGTCTCTAAACTGCGATTACGCTTTAAAGCTCGAAGAAAAAGTGAAATGAAAGGAGTTTTGAAGATTTACAGCGAAGGACAGGTGAAGCGGAACTCTCAATGCTCTCCAAAAAACAACCAGGAAGTAAAGCTGGTTGGACTATGTTATGATCTCCATTTGTCTTTTGTATTGCTTTCCTTTGGTGTGCAGTCCTCCTGAGAGTATTGTAAAAGATACTCGTCTCATCTTAAGTCAAGTGGTGACCATAAGTCAGAGCAGGGAATGAAGATACACCCTCTTATCTGAGGCCTGATCTATAGTGTTAGAGGTATGGTTGTGTGAAAGAGCGAAATGGGAAACAGATTCTACTTTGAAATGCGAAATCTGCAAAAGGCACAGAGAGGTAACACTGATAGAAAAGGTCTCACTTGGGTTATTAAATTATCCATGCTTTACTAATTTCCTTGACAAATAGATTGGATTTTTACTGAAAAGTACCAATAGTCAAATAAAAAGCAAATGAAGTGGCGCAAAACAGTAGTCAGTAAAACATTTGACGTCAATACAGGAGAGAATGAAAACAAGACTAGGCCTTGCCTTGCCTTATTAGTATGTTTCAATACCCAAACTACTCAAAATATTTAGTACGTGCCAATACATACATGTATGCAAGTAATACCAGGATGTCCTGTTGCATATGTTCACATTTTGCAGGATACAAGCCAGGGTAAAAGCTTTAAAGCACAATAATGAAGATGTACAGTATGTCCCAATTGCAGTTCTACTGAATGCATCAGTGTGTACTTTGTATGGGCAGCTACAGAGAAAACTGAGCCTCCAAGACACTGTTAGAGTCTACAGCAGTGGTTCTCAAACTTTTTCTGTATGATTTTCTATGGGGTTGAGATCTGGAGACTGGCTAGGCCACTCCAGGACCTTGAAATGCTTCTTACGAAGCCACTCCTTCGTTGCCCGGGCGGTGTGTTTGGGATCATTGTCATGCTGAAAGACCCAGCCACGTTTCATCTTCAATGCCCTTGCCGATGGAAGGAGGTTGTCACTCAAAATCTCACGATACATGGCCCCATTCATTCTTTCCTTTACACGGATTAGTCGTCCTGGTCCCTTTGCAGAAAAACAGCCCCAAAGCATGATGTTTCCACCCCCATGTTTCACAGTAGGTATGGTGTTCTTTGGATGCAACTCAGCATTCTTTCTCCTCCAAACACGTCTAGTTGAGTTTTTACCAAAAAGTTCTATTTTGGTTTCATCTGACCATAGGCGGCGCTTGAGGCTCTGGTTTGGGAAGGCTAAATAACTTTTTTTTTACCCGACGCTGCCCGCCCCCGGCGTCTATAGGAAAGAGATCAACTCAGCGCCATATAGATACATATTTTTTCCGGTGCCGGAGAGGAGGTTCGACCAGCCGGACCAGCTGGAGAGAGAAACCCTGGTTTGATTTACCGAGTTGATAACCAGCGTCGTAGGACCGCTTAGCGAGAACTCGTTTGTTAGGGTTAGTTAAGATAACTCAAACATATCCAGGGTCTGTTGAACTGGCTTCGTAGTACAGTTTACTGGTGGCTGCATAGCAGTGCTAATGTCAAAGACACAAACATTATACATTATATTTTTATTTTACCAGGATGCAGTGACACAAATATTTGGGAAGGCTTAGCCTTCCCTAGCCTACAGTACCCGCCGCCCCTGCATATGACATTCTCCCAATCCTCTTCTGGATCCTCTAAATGCTCTCTAGTAAACTTCAGATGGGCCTGGACATGTACTGGCTTAAGCAGGGGGACACGTCTGGCACTGCAGGATTTGAGTCCCTGGCGGCGTAGTGCGTTACTGATGGTAGCCTTTGTTACTTTGGTCCCAGCTCTCTGCAGGTCATTGACTCGGTCCCCCTGTGTGGTTCTGGGATTTTTGCTCACCGTTCTTGTGATCATTTTGACCCCACGGGGTGAGATCTCGCGTGGAGCCCCAGATCGAGGAAGATTATCAGTGGTCTTGTATGTCTTCCATTTTCTAATAATTGCTCCCACAGTTGATTTCTTCACACCAAGCTGCTTACCTATTGCAGACTCAGTCTTCCCAGCCTGGTGCAGGTCTACAATTTTGTTTCTGGTGTCCTTTGACAGTGTGACTGTTTGAGGTTGTGGACAGGTGTCTTTTATACTGATAACGAGTTCAAACAGGTGCCATTAATACAGTTAACAAGTGGAGGACAGAGGAGGCTCTTAAAGAAGAAGTTACAGGTCTGTGAGAGCCAGAAATCTTGTTTGTTTGTAGGTGACCAAATACTTATTTTACAGAGGAATTTACCAATTAATTCATTAAAAATCCTACAATGTGATTTCCTGGATTCTTTCCCCCCATTCTGCCTCTCATAGTTGAAGTGTACCTAGGATGAAAATTACAGGCCTCATCTTTTTAAGTGGGAGAACTTGCACAATTGGTGGCTGACTAAATACTTTTTTGCCCCACTGTATCTTCCGATTTGTAAATAGATCAGAAATGAGTCCATCTGTTGGTCACACACACACACACGAGCACCTGCAGAAGCTCTGATAGCTTGCATCTGTTCTAAGAGACAAAGGACAATATCTTAAAATACAATTTTATTTACAATGTAAAACAAATACATTTAAACCATCATACAAAAGCTCTCTAAAAAAAAAAATCAATCCTATTTACATGATAAAACAATTCATATCGGACCTCCATCAGAAAGACCAAGTCAAGAAAGGTGTGACCGATGGACGCTTCTGATAATGGATTTAAAATTCACACACACAAACCTGACAGCAAGTGTGTGTGTGTAAGAAGTAAAACATCAAGAGATGCCTCAGTGGTGTGCTTTAGTTTGCCGTTTTAAAGCAATGTAAACATGTGAAACACAATCATCTGTATTTGTGTTTCATTAAGAGGATGTCCACCAGCTTTGCACGCAACCATAATTTAACCATTGTTCATTTTTTAAAATCTTAATGGCTTGTGAAATACTGGATGTGGCTGGTCAGTTCTGGTCTTTAGTTAGTGTTGCTCCCTCAGTGGTCCAGGAAGCTGAAGATGCTCCTCTGGGGGGCTTTGGTCTGTGCTGCAGGTCTGTTCTCTCTGCAGGGCCTCTTGGCTGTGGGGGTCACCGCTTCCACCGGCCCCCTCTTCTTCGTCACCTGATGATCAAACACAATAAATATAAACATTGACTAAGAATACATAAAGCAATGTTTTTGTGGTGATATAACTAATCAACTGCTGCCAACAAACAAAAATGCAATGGTGAATCTTGTGCTAAAACATGCTTGGTAAATAAAGACATTCATTCTGAGAAGTGGGCTCTGGCTCCCCCTAGTGTCATAAATATAGAAGACATCAGAGTAAGTAGACATGATAATCACACCGAGCGATCTTTGCAAAGTGATTTGTTTTGGTGCTTCTTTTAGAACAGTGAGTTCTGGTCAAAAACACAGACAAACATGATGTAAATGTAACTGGTGAAGGCCAGAGCAGAGATAAAACCCCGTGTTTTTCAAAAGGGCTGGACAAACATGACAGACCATTTTTTTAGGTCAAGGATTAGGCACCAATATGGCTACTCTAGTATCATGCAGTAAAGAAAGAAGCACCATGAGCCTATTTATTTTAAGATCAGACGTGACTTTTTCTACATCTATGCAGCCTCTTGGCCACTTGTTGCAAAAGGTCCTCTTAGATTTTGAACACGCAAGCTGTGATGTTTTTAACATGAGATCATTTCTCCCTTTTTCACTCCTTTTGAAACATTGATATAATCAAAACAAACACTCATCATTATCAATGCGCGGGCACGCCAGATCCACAGGACTAACAAATGATTTTGGTACTTTTGACCCTTCCACCTTGTGCAACCTGTGTGAAGGCAGTGCTTTCTACTAGCTTTGTGAAACCGGGCACTGGGATAAAAGTGTGAAGGGTCACGGTAGATGCTGGTTACCATTTAACTACATGGTTTCATAACGAATTAATGAGCCATTAGGGGCTTTATTGCAATGTGTGCACCCGGAATTACATAATTCCATTTTTTGAAGTAAGGTAGCAGAATGAATAATCAATAGTGCAGAGGAGGTCAGATCTCTGAATGACTCAAATGCTCCTCTGTGTGATGCATTCACATTCTTAAAGGCTACCACTTATTGAATATTATCTAATAAGCACAACTTATTACCATCAGCTTCTCACAGATGTGTAAACTAAATGCAATCACTACCTTTTTGCTATAACATTAATGAGGTTTTTTTTTAGTTTTTAAAAAAAATGCGGTTTGTTGATTGTGAGCAGGACTACAAAAACACTTTTTAAACAATATATATATATTTTTTAATGAACTTTGTGAAAGGTCATAGCAGCGGTGAATGAAGAATGCATAACATTTCGGAGCAGATCCAAAACACAGTCATTGGATTTGATGGATTTCTAAACTGTTGCCGTTATAGGTTTATTTTTTTATCCTGGAGTTAAGTATATAAAGATAATAATCATTCAATTTTCATCATCTGATGTAATGGTAAAATAAATCCTCCCAATCAAGCCCTGAGCATATCAAGGAGTTTTTAAATTAAGAAATATTTTATGAGTTTTCGAGGAATGAATGGTTTACTCGTTTGAGCAAAGGGACACCATGGTGCACAGCTCACCTGTTTGTTGGCAGCGTTGGAGGTGGACTTGTCCTTCTCAGGAGACACAGTTTGGAACAGGAATCCTCTGCTGTTTCTGGGAGCCAGAGGATTCCCGTCTGAGATGCATGCCAGCTTCTGGAGGACGGACTGGGGCTGACTCAGCAGGGACCCTCTCTTTACCTGGAAGACATGTAAAGAACATCTTAGATTGAACTTTTAAAAGCTAAATATAACAAACCTTGTTGGTAATATGTCCAATGCTAATCTCTGAGATCACAATGGTTGGGCAATATTTTGATATCAAATCTAAATGGTGCAACAAAATTATAATGAAGGATTGAAAAGTGAGAAAATCCACATTTCTTTACTTGACGGTGAGGTACCTGTGAGGGCTGCGAGAGCCTCTGGAAGGGGTTCAGAGCTGATGTCGTCTTCTTCGTTGGTTGTGATGCCGCACTGGGCTCTGGTTTGAAAGTTTAAAAGTTAGAAAGTGAAATACTCTATACTCCAATCTAACAACTGTATCATAATGTATGAAACGTTTTATTATAATCATTATTATTCTTTGAGAACTGAAAGTAAGATTACACTTTATCTGGAGACCTATAAGCTTATCAAAATGAATTTAGAGACCATCTATCAGTGTGATTGTTACAGAACAGAAGCATGCCTGGGTGTTTTTAAATCCAAGGGATTCTGTTTGCGAGGCCTCGTCTCAAACTGACCTTTCCTCTGCAGAGTCTTGGCAGTCACTTTCTTGGCCAGCTTCATAAACTGACTGTCTTCTTGTTCTCCAACCTTCTCATCGTCTGCATCCAAATCCTCCCCTTTCTTGGCTTTCTGCTCAGACTGTGAGAAGAGACAGAGAAAGGAATTAAGACAACATAACAACAGCCCCCCCCCCCCCCCCCCCATGCAGAAGAGAGGGAAGAATCAACCAAATGTTTCTTTGAAGACTGTAGTATTATTATTACCGTAAATACTGCACATTTATTTGTAATGATGTCTCCTGAATATTATCTAGGTATAACTCTTATTACTTGCAAAAACAGCAACGTACCTGTTCTCTGAGCCACTGTTCTTTCTCCAGCCTGTCCTTCCTCCTTTGGAGCTCAGCTGGGTCCACCTCATCCTCATCATCCTCCCCTTCCTCCCCCTCTGCTCCCGTCCTGTCCATGTTGAAACCATCGTCTGGAAAGAGAATTCAAAAAGTTGGGTTTAACAACTCATTTCTAAATACCAGTGTACATAGTATACAATATATGGTATTGATTCCCTCAATCTATAAACTCACCCATGTTTTTCCAGCGGAACTGGCGAGCTCGTCCGGGGGCGTCGGAGTGAAGGTCGCCGTCAGCGAGGTAACGCTCCTGGTAGATCCTCAGCTGGCGCTTGTCATCATCCATGATCTGCTTCCTGTAGGAACAATCCCAGATGGGTGAGATTTCACGTTTAAACGCCTAAACTTAAGAAGACGTCCTCATTGCATTGTTTATGGGGGTGAAAGGGACATGTATATCTCACAAGTTGTTTGGTTCAGAATCATTGGTTCGTTATGCAACTCCCTCAGCTTGATATTCCCTGTGACCCAGTCAATAACTAAATAATGAAGAGTGTTATAAACTTTTGTTAAATGTTAAGAATTTTCTAAATAAAAGATAAAAAATGTTTTACGGAACCGTGACCTAAATACGTAAGATTGATCAAAACAGTAAAGTTTGAGCACAGTTACACACCTACTTCTAAGAGTTCATCCTAAAGAGCGGCGCAGTCATAAGGCTTCCAACCCAAATATAAGTCAGCTTTTAGCCATTCCAGGTTCCTTCCTTTCAAAGTCTGAGGTTTTGTGAATATGTTTTCAGTGAGATGCTTTAAATAATGTCTGTGGTTAACACAAGCTCACTGCTTACTCTGCAGTTAATACCAACAGTGAGTGTCTGAAGTGGTTGCTAACAATTGACTAAACATTAGCAGCCTTTAGCTTAGCGGTGGTAATGCGCTGCCATGTGTCGGTGAACTAGTGTCGTTCCTTTATAACGTTAGCTATGTACTTCTGGTGATTGCATTTACACATCAAAAGTCATTCAAGTTGTGCTTAATATATTGAGAGTATACTGCTGAACAAAACATGCATCATAAGCATGCGTTTGATTCAGAGCTTATTTCTGCTATACTCAAATCCAATGGAAAAATCCCATTCAATTTTGTCAAGGGAGCCCTTGTGATGCAAACTCCCGTATCCCAGCACCACTCTATTATGAGCGGAGCAGCAATTGGAGGAAACTCCTTAAGGCAGCCTTATCTTGGGACATTACTCACATGTGGATCTTGTTGACCTGGTCCTGCAGCTCTTCATCAGAGGGAAGATCCTCGAGAAGCTCCTCTTCCTCGTATTCGCTTCCTCCGTCGCCGTCCTCATCGTCACTGTCCATGTCGCTGCCGGACAGCTCGGCCTCTGCCTCCAGGTAGTCGGCCATATGCCTGAGAACAGCATGTGAGAGACTATCAACACGAGGGCTACAGCGTGATCATAGTATACGACGCGTGTATGTCCATGGTGCTACCTAAACAGTTCCATTTGATTCTTCACTTACATTTTCTTCTTTTTCTTGACTCTGTGTGGTGCGAAGACAGCTTGCATCTCCTCCTCTTCTACAGCATCATCATCCTCACCAGCGTCTTCATCGGCCTCCTCTCCATCTTTTTCCGCCAAACCACCATCATCATCATCATCATCATCATCCTCCTATGAACGCACAATTCACTTGTCATTTGCATCCAATAGACGTAAATCCAGTATGTTGAATTTGACTAAATCAAAATGGAGGCACGTGTTCTCACCTGTTCGCTGTGACTTTCCACATCTGACAGAAGCCGGAACTCGCAGTCCTCATCCTCATCCTCCTCTTCTTCATCTGGCTTCTTTTTACTTTAGATTAAGAAATAAGAAATGAGCATGAGAATCTTACACTGAATATAGATATTCCAATTAATGTTACCTTCGATGTACGCTGTTAAAGGGTTTGAAATAATGAGTAGTAGAAAAAGAGGGAATAGATGGAATAATATGTATGATGATTTGGATTATTCCAGGTCTTTCTTTTGGTACTGTACCTGTCTTGTGCTGGCGAAGCCATGCGAGCAGAACCTGAAATTGGCAGCAAAGGGAAACAAATGTAAATGTTGCGTAGCTGGAAAAACAATAATTCAAAACATTTCTTAAACATTGAAATTAAAAATGTTAAAGACCCAAGGCAACAGGAAATGTACATAAAGGAAAGTACATACATTTTTTGTAATGTCTGATGTGATTTACGTTCAGGCGTCTGGTAAAAATATTGCTTTGGGTGTCTTTGTATACATGTGAAACAGCGTACATTAGAAAAGACAGAATATCATCGTTTTAGAAAATATGTTGATAAAGTTTAATCATAACAAAAGAAATTCAAACCAAAAACACAAAAAAGTATGAATTTGAACAGGACAGTCATCTCAACGGCAGTTTATCTGCCTCAAGCTAACCATGTATTTCCCCTTCACAATAAATACATTTGAATGTTAGTTAAATGATTAAGACCTGAATGTCTTGTCTAGTGTGAGCCTGTCTGTCAAACCTTTTTTGCACACTGTCGGTGATTGAACATAAAATACACCATATTAAAAAAAGTCAGCAAACCTTTACCTTGACTGGGGAATTTCCCTGAGCAGAGCCCCAGCAGCTGATCCATGGTGTTATCAGACTCTTCATCGTGGTCACGTGCCCTTCTGTCCTCTCCTGCCTGTGTTGGTGGGAACGCTCCGGAGCACATCCCGAGCAGCTCTCCCTCCTGCGTGGCTCCGAGGCCCTCAGCCCTGCCGGAGCCGAAAACTCCAGAGCACATGCCCATCAGCTCCCCCATGTTAGCGTCCATGGCGTTTTCATCCAGGCTGTCCAGGATCAACTGTCTCTTGTGGGAGCGGGGGGCACCGGGCCGCGGCCCCACGTTCAGGAAGCCGTCTGCATCCAGTAACTGCGAGTGGGGGTCCTCCTCCAGGGAGAAGCGACCCTGGGAGTCTCCTCCGGGGCCCGAAGCCGCTCTGCCGTGGGGCCCCGAGTCGGCTCCTGGGGACGGAGGGGCATACGAGTCCTGGGAGTCCTCAACCGGGAGGGAGAGGGAGGGCTCAGAGAGTTTGCCTGAACTCTGGTGGAGGAAAAAAAAGGTGGACATATGTTTGGGAGATTTCAAACCACTGATGATGTTATTTAGATTTGTTGGTGTCTTAAACATAATGAAAAATATGATATCTTACCCTAGAGGCAGAGCCGAGGAAGCTGGGCCTGAAGGAGCATCGAGAGGGGGAGCGGAAAATGGAGGAGTTGGAGATGCTTTTCCCTGCAGAGCGCTGATAGCTGATAGGCTGGTACGAGGTGATCATGGAGCCAGCCAGCTCAAAGCTGCTGTTGTTGCTGTTGTCCTTCACCAGGGACAGAGAGTCTTCGTCCTCTGAAGACAGGAAGGACCAGAGAGTGAGAAGATAATACACACATTTTGCACAAAAGGATTCACCAAATAAAAGCTCTTAAAGTGAAATAATGTAAAATAAAACAAAGGTCTTTCTTTTTACTCACCCATCTTATTGCTGCAGCTGTTCTGCCCAAAAGGACCAGACCTTCTTAAACCATCGCTAAAAAGTAAAGCAGATCATATGTCAATATACTGCGCAAACAAATTTTAAATGAACAACAACGACAAGGAAAAAAAATGGTTGTGCGAATGCATAGCTATTTGACAAGTTTTGTTTTCATTAATAGGACAACCAGGTTATGGTTAAGTAACAGAAACGTGCTTACAATTCGCCGATTCATTTAAGTTACAATTAGGGATGCTCCGATCGCCAATTTTGGGGCCGATCGCCGGAATCAGTATCGGCCGATACCGATCGCCGATCCGATCGAGCGGGCGGGGCCTAAATGGAAGATTTAAACATCACTTTAAATCTTCCATTTAAAGTGATGTTTAAAACTCAGTTAATGGGGCTCATTCACTGGAGCTTCCACAAACAACAATCAACTTAATTATTACATTCAAATGAAGTACATTATTCAAGTTTACATTCACTTTGGAGAATAACACGGGAGAAATGAGCGGAAGCGCTCTCCTTTCCTCTCCTGACAGCCTCATGCAGCTCACTGATCCAGTAATGAGTGACCCGACAGTGAAGAATAAATATATTTACAACTAGTTTAGCTTGTTCCAGAGGTAGATCAAATAGCTAAGTGTGTTAGGTCTAACTCTTGTGTGTTTCGTTCCGCTCACCGGTCCGTCACAGCGGGCGGAGCTGCAGGATTTCTGCTTCACACACGTTGCATACCGCTATTTTACTGTCTTTTTCAGACACCTTCAAATACTGCCAGGCCGGTGAAGCCATTTTGGCGAGCTTGTATTGCCGCACACAGAGAAAAGTGTCATGTATTTTACGTCATGCGATCGAATCTCGCGATCGGCATGTTTAGAGAGCACCGATCGATCGGTAGAGAGTGAGTATCGGCCGATCTCGATCAGAGCATCCCTAGTTACAATGGTAAAAACATACCAAGACACACAACTAGACACTCCCTACACGCACTGACCCTGTGCGAGAGCAGGAGTTCCCGGGGAACAGCAGGAGTGTGCAGTCCCTGTTCATCATGTCAGGAACCGGCGATGGTCCATTCAGAACCATAGGAGACAGACTTCTAATACTCCGGGTCACACTGCCTTCCTCGTCTTCATGTTCCTTCTCTTCTTCCTCACCATCATCCCCCCCCAGTAAATCATCTACATTCTGTTAAAGGAGAAGATCAGGTTTTCCGTGAGTACAAAAATATATAAAGCATGTTGGTCATTTCAAAAGCAACAACAAACACACTTCTCTTACCTCTTCTGCCTCAGACTCATCCGTCATGTCTTCCTCCTCCTCCTCTTCATCCTCTCCACAGTCCTCATTGTCGAGGCGATTCAGCTCAGCCTTGCGTTCCCTGTCCTCCTGTCTCCTCTGGGCCATGGCGAGCTGCAGGCGCTGCTTCAGAGTCAGCAGCTTCTCGCCTAAAGAAAAGGAACAGAGGAATATTGTTACACCTCCAAGTTTTATTTCTCCGTTCTTTGGTATTGATGCTGAAACGTACATAAACGATCTGGTCCACGGCCTCTAAATGGACTTCACATGTGGATCCATACCTGGTTTGGTGGTCGGAGGCTCCTCTGCTCCCTCTTTAACAGTGACAGTGAGCGACTCAGTGTGCAGCTCCTCCTGTCCAGAGGGGGCGCTGTCTTTGCGGACGATGGTGAGCTGCATCGTTCGTTCTCCTTGAGGCCGTACGTGCTTTTTGGAGTGACGAAAGTAACGCTCCTTCAGTGCCTCAACCCCTAGTTGAAGGAGAGAGGTGAAACCAAGGTCATTTGTCAACAACTTTCTCTCCCCTTAAATACAATATATAGATCAAATGCACTCATTCTCGCACTTTCTCTTTTCTTACTTTATGTCGATCCTAAAAATAAATCACCACTCACCAGAGTTGAGCTGTGGAGGCTCGAGCTGAACAAAGGCTCCTTCATCTGCACACAGCTTAGCGACGGGTGGAGGGTTCAGTCCGAACTTCTTCAGTAAGGCAAATTTGTCCTTCTTGGGTTTGGTGGGTTGCTGTACTGAAGGCTCTTTAACAGCAGAATCAGCACACTGAGCGTTTAAAGGCTCCAACACAGCCCCAGACTCTCTCTGAGGGGCGTCGGACATCACCGCATTCTGGCTTTGCTCTGCAGGACAAGCTTCCCCAGAATCAGAGGCACATCTCTGTGCATATGTTCCCTCTGACTCCTGCAGACTCTCAGAGAGGTACAGCATGGGTCCAGAGCCCTGGTCGAGGCTCGCTGCTGCCTCTCTGGCTGGGCTGAGGCTCTCCTGCAGCAGGGACGAGGTGGCGGCAGGATGAGGGATGGACTGGATCTGAGTGGACGACATATCGAGAGACGGAGGAGAGTCCTGCTCTGTGGGTGGCTGCTCACTGGGTGCGATGATGGGGGGAGGAGGAGGAGCTGATGGCGTCTCCAACATCCTGGCTGAAAATTTGGTAGATCTGATGAGAAGAAAAATGTAAAAATGAGTGTGAGTAAATGTTCATTGTGTGTGTATGAAGGAAATGCACTTCCTATTATAAAATCAGATGTCTTAGAAATCGTTACGACGGACAGTCATTTTGTTCCCGTATGGCCAGCTGTTGCCCTACATGCGTGTTATCCGTTACATTAATCCTTACTTTAACAGTCTCATGGCGGGACCCTCTGGCCTGGCCCTCTTCTTGAAGAACTGGTCGATGGTCTTGGGCTCAGGGATGTGATAGGGGAGGCCAAGCGTGGACTCTACAGAGACAGAACAACATGTCAAAGATGCAAACACACATCATGAAAACTGAATTGCCACAATAGATACAAGTGAATAGAAGTGTTTCCTGTGAACTGACCTCGGACCAGCCTCTGGGACTCGCTGTGGAGCTGCTTCATCGCATCTCTGCTGGCACGTGCGGCTTTCCTCTCCTGAGAGCATCACACATGTTGAGAATGAAGCCGCTTTTTAACAGGATTAAGAAGAAAAGTCAAGAATGTTGCCTATGCATACCACACGCTGAGGTTTCTCCATTTCATCTTCATCTTCCTCCTCTTCGTCACCCAGGAGAGGATCCTGCAGAAATATCAAACACTGATTACACAAAGGCCTGTGTAGACAACCTCTGCAAAATGTCATGCAAACCATTGTAATTCATAAATAAATAGCTCCCACGCGTAGGGCTGTGCAATTAATCGTATTTTAATCTTAAATATTTGTTGATCTTCTTTATCGGTATTTATTTAAATGTATTATTTATTTTTGTATTGGTTTTTCAGTTGAATTATACTTAAAGTTCAGGGTAATCAACTGTTAAAAACATACTGTTCAAATTATAATTTTTTTCCAAAAGTTCAATAAATGGATGTTTTCAAAGTCAATGAATAATCATTTTTAATAATCGTGATATCAATATTGACCAAAATTAATCGTGATTATGATTTTTGCTATAATCGAGCAGCCCCGCCCACACGGCAGCTTTACAATTTAATGCACCTGTGATGTTTAATCACAACTGCTCTGCGTCAGACTAAACTGCCAACTAATGTACCCCTTTAACAACATTTAACTCAAATTCATTAACTTTTAACTAAATCTGTTACTATTATTATGCGTACCAATAAGCTGAACAAGTGCTTACAATCCTGCCAACACCTTTTGAAATATACACACAGTGATGAACAATTTGAATTGCCGATAGTCATATTTGTACCTTTTGTTTTTTCATTTTTTGCTTGACAGCAGCTCTGATGGCCTCCAGAGACTCTTCCTCCTCATCATCGTCCAGCCCCGTGTCAAACAGATCCGTGTCGCCCAGCAGACAGCCACTATCGTTCAGACCCCGAGGGAGAGGTGCGTTCTGGGAAATGAGTGCAAGTTGTCTTTAAAATTACACAAAATAATTCATCATGTAACCTACTGGTACTTTGTGTAGAGGTTTATGCTTTTAATGGAGACAAATGCACACTGTGGTAGAGCTCATTATATTAAGAATCTGAATACTAGAGTCTCTGCATAAGAAATTAAAAACACCAGAGAGAAAAAAGCTTCACAAACCTCATTTATTTCAGAGCACCGCTCCTTCTTCTTCAGTTTTTCCTTCGCCTTGCTGCCCTTTTCCTTTTTCTCCCTGTGCCTCTGACTCTTCTCTCTCTTCTTATGTTCCTTCATCGATTTTGTTTCCTTCCTCACCTCCTTCTTTTGTTCCTCCTCCATTTCTCCACCTTTCTCTTGCTCGGGCTCACTGTCTTCGCTGTCAATGGGAGCACGGATGATTCTCTTGCTCTTCTGGGCCCCTTTCTCTTTCCTATCACCCTTCTTTTCTGCCTTTTCAGTCTCCATCTCCTCTCCGCTGGAAGCAGATAAGACTAAGGCTTCGGCCATGTTTACACCGTTGTCCCCAGCAGCCTCCTCTTCCTCACTCTCACTGTCTCTTATGGCATTACGATGAGGCTTTCTGTGAACAGTGATGTCTTCATCGTCTTCGGAATCTGAAAACAAAATACCAATTTAGAACCAATCAAATATATGGCACAAAATACAGATTAATTGTAATTTTTCTGATATTGGTGTCCGGTGTGTTGTGCTTTTATATGTTCTAGTATATCTCAATAATGCATATGCTTATTTGTTTTTAAATTGCATATTATGGAATTGTCATTCTTCAAAATAAGACAAATGAATACCATTTTTATTCTGCACGTGCAGTCAATGCAGAATAAAAACACATTTAATTATTCAAATCTTTAGACATGTTGTACAGATAGATTTGACTTTGCGTGAGTTAAGTGGATCCTTGTATTCGATTTGAATAGTAATTTGAGTACTGCATTTATTGTAAGCTTTGTGTCCATGTAAATGTACCAAATGTTTGTTATTGTATGGAAATGAACATGAATGTCCTCATTTACACAGCCAAAGTGGCTCCTGCCCCATCTCTCTCAGGCTGAATTGTCATCTTTTGTTGTGTTCCCTTACCTGGAAGCTCCACTCTTTTGTTGGCTGCCTCCAACACCATCTCCTCCTCTGGAGAGCCCATCCCGCTGTCTGAATCACTCTCTGGGGCCGTTGGGTCCACAGCCGGGAGACCCTCGGTCTGGGAACAAAAACACAGAATAAAGATAAAGTGCCCCTTCTGTATTATTGCTCTGTATACTATTACAATAGTTAAAATAAATCAAAAAGTTGCTATGTATAACTTGCATGATTAAAGTGGAGCTTGCAGCTGTTGATATATTCCAAAACTCAATGTCACTTTTTGGTCTGTTTCTGAATTAACAGAGATAATAATATTGGCACTAAATAAAACAGCACTCTCTAAGAAGCTTAAATAGTTGCTCCTTTTAAATCCATTGCAAAATAGGTCAGTATACATTATATTATCTGCTTGAGTAACCTATAACCTAGAATCGGGGGCACTAGGTCAATATCCAGTTTCAGATACAATATTTGTTATCTTTGCATATGTATGTATGTATTGTTTTCGATTGTGTGAGTTAAAGCAGCCGGATTGGTGTTATAATACCTTAGTGGCGCCTTGAAATACACCAAACAATGAGCAGTGCGTTAGCTGGCGACATTGAGTCGTTTCAGCGTACCATACATTATAAGTGTTTCAGGGACAAATCAGAATTGTATTTCACTACAGATAATATAATATTCCTAGATGTAGGATTTGAACAGTGGTCAACAATATAAAACGCCTAACTAGCATGCATTTGATCGTTGTGACCAGGCCAAGAGGACAACCACCATTCCAACTGGCTAAACCTAAACTAGCCAGCCAACGTTAGCTATGTGGCTAAAGCTAACTACAGCTACTATTAGCACATGTCTGTCTTTCTTGAATGCGTGTGATCTTCCCTGTCTTTTATCCTAACTCATAGCTAGGATGGCATATATGTCAGTCTGATACTTTAACGGTAAATCGATATCGAAAGTTACATTTCCTCACCTGTTGTTGAGAGACGACCAGGCTCATCTTTGTCCGCCGTCTAGTTTTCGCTCTTTTGTGAAATAAACCAGCGGAAACAGACGCTTCGTCGATTCCCGGCAGCCACTCGGAGAAGCAAATGTCTGTGTGACAAAGGCTATTTTAGACTTGTAAAGCACATTTATAAAGACTTTAACCGGGCTGTTTCTCTTCCTCCCGCCTCTTCCCTAACGTTACACATCGATTAGACAATTTGATATTTCGCGCGCCGTGACAGCTGGGCCGCAGTTTTTCGTCATCGAGTGTCAATCGTCTCGTTCTCGCTTTCCTATTGGTCCGTCCGTCCCGATTTGTTACCGCCCAGTGTGACGACACGGCTTGCTGAGAGCTGACTTTTAATGCCGGGAGTCCTCAGGCAGGCGGGGTTGAGGGGGGTTAACAAAAGGGAAGGTCTTAAAATATTAATCTTTATTAATATTATCCCATGACGAGTGAAATTGTTGTGCAGTAGTATTAGGCCTACAATATTTGAATATAGGAACACATTTGAGTTGTAATGATTAGGTAGGTGCAAAACCCAGATTGACACAATGGCTGAAAAGTTAATTACTTAAGGTTTTTTGCCATATATTAATTTACTGGGGAAACAAAGCACAAACTGAGAAACTTGTGATAACTTGGTATTCGTTACAATCACTGATATCTTTGACTTCAATGTATTGAGTGAGTTTCTTCAGATACCGATTTAGCGAATATATACACTGTAGGCCTACTTTCAAAATGTAAATAAAATCTGTAACACAGGTTCTCTATTTTAAGTCAATATGGAGGCGTGTGGTGCAGTGGGTTGTGCGTTGGTGATGGGTCGGGGGGTCACAGGTTCAAACCCCACTGCAGTCAGCATGTCATGTCCCTGGGCAAGACACTTCACCCCAAATTGGTCCTGTGGGGATTGCTCACAGTATTGAGTATGTAACTCACTTTGGATAAAAGCGTCTAACAAGTGACATGTAATGTAATATTAGAACATTGTTCTTAGTCAGTGTTATCTTCAAAGTAAATAAAGACAGGACCATGGGCTGGAGGACAATTATTATTTCTGTTTACTGAATTTATGCAAAATACTTATTAGTTCTTTTTTTGGATAAACATTTTACATACAAAATAGTTCTTGTATTTCCTACATGTTTTGTTATATTTTACTCCAAGAGTACACAGTTGCTAAGATAACTCAATTTCGACCATCATAACAGTAACACATTTTTAACCGATTAATGCAACATTCCTGAATTAGAAATGTACTTAGATATAAGCAAATATCACAATATATATCATAAACTGTATCACAAAGGCTAAGACACCAAACGAAAAATAAATCATTATGCAAACAGCACAATTAAGAATCGTATTTAGCCTATAGGCGATAATTGGATAATATGAATCAATTAATCAATCCGTATTACTTTAAAGTTACAGCCAGTTGAGTCGAGGTATCTATATATTTATCTAATATATCATTCCAATCACTTGCACTATTTCACTATTTTACCTTTTGTATTTACTATTTACTTGCACTATTTTTTTCTGTTTATCTGTTTTATTGTGTTGCACTGTTGGAGGAGCCTGTGACCTAAGATTTTCATCGTCGTAACTACACGTGACGTATGACTAATAAAAGCCTTGAACCTTTAACCTTGAAGTATGGGCTTATTCCAATATCCTTTACAAAACAAATACTCAAGTATAGCCCTGCAATTAAGTAGTTACTCTTAAACAAGAAATTCAGTATTCCCTTAATTTAGTAACAAATTGAGAACCAATTAACTTTTTAAACCTAATTTGATAACTTTTCCCTAATTTCTGTCTAATATTGTGTGACTGTATTCTAGTCAATGGTGTGAAGTTACTAACAACATTTAACCAATGACTTTTATTAATTACAATGTTGACATAAGTGAAACACAAAAATGCATTAATGATTTTAATCCATGAATATAATTTATACAAGTAAACATTTAAATACATGCACCCCTTCTTATTATACATCCATGATGCACCCCCGCCCCTAGTACGACGCTGAAGTTGGCTTCCGATTCAGAGCATCCGATTCGGCAGTTAAGGGGAAAGTTAAGGGACATTTAATTTACAGCGCTGAGCGAACAATCCTCCGTGTTTGAACCTCTTAAATCGCTGCATTGCCGATTTATCTGGACTGGATTATCCCAGAGAGTCTAAAGATTCTTTATAACCCAGTTTCAGATTTGTGAAACCTTTATTCTATTTGTGAAAATACAAACAAGGGAGATTTCAGTGCTTTTTTACATGTAGACCACATTAGACCAGGTTCTGATCTGAAACCACTAGACCTACACTCATCAAATCTGGACTGGATTATCCCAGAGACTCTAAAGATTCTTTATAACACAGTTTCAGATTTGTGAAATCTTTATTCTATTTGTGAAAATACAAACAAGGGAGATTTCAGTGCTTTTTTACATGTAGACCACATTAGACCAGGTTCTGATCTGAAACCACTAGACCTACACTCATCAAATCTGGACTGGATTATCCCAGAGACTCTAAAGATTCTTTATAACACAGTTTCAGATTTGTGAAATCTTTATTCTATTTGTGAAAATACAAACAAGGGAGATTTCAGTGCTTTTTTACATGTAGACCACATTAGACCAGGTTCTGATCTGAAACCACTAGACCTACACTCATCAAATCTGGACTGGATTATCCCAGAGACTCTAAAGATTCTTTATAACACAGTTTCAGATTTGTGAAATCTTTATTCTATTTGTGAAAATACAAACACAGGTGGAAGGCTGAGGTTGCTGCAGCAGGCCAGGATCAGAATCAGAGAGTGAACCCAGCTGGGCAAGCCTTTATGCCTTCTTGTATTTTCACAAATAGAATAAAGGTTTCACAAATCTCAAACTGTGTTATAATGAATCTTTAGCCTCTCTGGGATAATCCAGTCCAGATTTGATGAGTCTAGGTATAGCGGGTTTCAGATCCGGACTTGGTCTAATGTGGTCTACATGTAAAAAAAGCACTGAAATCTCCCTTGTTTGTATTTTCACAAATAGAATAAAGGTTTCACAAATCTCAAACTGGGTTATAAATAATCTTTAGACTCTCTGGGATAATCCAGTCCAAATAAATCGGCTATGCAGCGATTTAAGAGGTTCAAACACGGAGGATTGTTCGCTCAGCGCTGTAAATTAAATGTCCCTTAACTTTCCCGTTAACTGCCGAATCGGATGCTCTGAATCGGAAGCCAACTTCAGCGTCGTGCCCCTAGTGCCGTACAGCAAATTACGCATGCGCACAGCGTACTCAAAGGCTTCTAACTAGCGCATGCGCACTCACAAATCCCCAGAAGCAGCAGCAGCGGCGGTGGCTTGGGTCGGTTAGTTCACTCAGCAGTCATCCACGCATCTATCTATATTCCCTTTTCTTAAATTAGCCACATTAAGCTTCGCGATACCGCCCCCAATTTCAGCCTCGGTACGGAGCCGCCAGGCCGGGACAGAGACGGAAGGAGACGAGGCCTCCGAAATGGAAGCGCTCGGACCGGGTAAGAAATACGAGAGACACACAGCAGGCAGCGGGGAGAGATGGCCGTGTGTGGGGAGCGTGTTGCGCAAATGCGTCGCATCACTGGGGGCCCCGGTTGCAGCGAGGCCTTGACGCTCTGACGGGAAAACAAACCGAGGCCCAGCCCGTGTGTGTGTTTGCGCTGTATATGTGTGTCGGGCTTTATTTACACCGAGCGGGAGCCACGTTTTGTGTATGTACGAGGAGGGCTGGTGTTTAAAAACGGTTATTCAGTAATGTCTGCGCGGTTATATTTCTCTGAAGCACTCTGCCCGTCGTGTCGAAGCTGGCATTGTGTGAGTGGGGATTTAACCAGGACCTTCCTTCCTTCCCTTCCGCGTCGTAGTGTGTTTACGTTGTTTGTTTTCGACGTGTTTGTCTTTGCTCACACAATACGACTTAATTCCTACACTAAGACCACACAATAACGTCGAAATATGCTACCTGTATCAAATTATTGCTGCGAAACCATCTACATTTGTACCATCGCCATCAGGAACAGTACGTCTCTTCGGGCTGCCCTCCGTACTAGATGACAGCGATGGGTGGGAAACAAAATAAACGCACGTTACAAGCGTTGAAGGAGCATGTTTTGTGACTCATAATTTACTGGTTTTATGCGAGGCTGTCATTGGTTAAAGTGCCATGCGTATGAGAGCCCAGCAGGGATGGATGGCGCTTTTATCGATCAGATCTGCAGGCCAGCTCCATAATATTCCCCTATATGATAACAAAGGCACTTATTTTGCAGCGATGCAGTAACCAAATGATAAAGCTTGCGGAGATATGGCAGCCATACACCTGAACACCCAGTGATACAATGCATTCTTATTGCAAAATGACTGTTTTTTTCAACATGGACAAACCGTTTCCTCATTTTGATGGTGAAACTAGCCCTTATCACACAACGAATTAAGTGCAGCTATCAGCTATTGAACCGCTTGCATGTCCACACACATTGTCCACATGCTCTGTAAGAGAGGTGGTAGTATAAGCTAGATGCCAACACCACACTGGACTATAAGGAGACAACAATAGTGTACAACCACCCACAGGTGTAAGTGCCACCATAATCAGTGCAAGCCATCAATTATCATCTATGATATTTCAGGGCGGACTGGTGTTATAGTTTTTAGTCATTCATAATTTCTTACCTTACAAGGTGTGGATTTAGGCTTGCTATAGTACACACTATTTACTCACATTTGTAATGATAAGCAGGGATACAGCAGTACTATTCTCAGACAGTCATTGCCTTGACTAGGATGCATTACACTTTGACAAGATCAAAATACGATCACACTTTTAATTGTACGTCTAGCAAAGCATTACAAGAAAGGATGCTGTAGTGCTTTTTAAATGTGCATCGACAAACTGAAGATAATGTCAAACCCTGTTAGAATGACACACTTGTGGCTGGAGTTCTTTAGAAAGCTCCCCATCATGTAGTGTGTCACAGTGAGTGATGTAGGTCTGGGGTGTCTTCGCAGAGCAGCTCATTGAACCTGTTATTTTGTTCTGTTTAGTTGAAGTGATGTTAAAATCCAAACTTAATGCAGCTGACGCATATTGTCACGGGAAATTCGTAAATAGAGGCAACAGTTAACTCAAGGGGGCGTGAACTGATGCGAAGATGAGCCCGCTGACGCTGAAAATGTTACACATGACCAAGAAATTCACAATTATTAGGAAAAGTGTGACTCCA